CGTTGCTGCTGAAATGCCGCCAGCGGCATTTCGGTAGCAACGCCTCTGGATGACGCTGCTTGTCGGCAGCATTTCGGCGGATGCTCGTCCGCCGGCCAGTATGCAGGCGCACTTAGACGCCCCAGCAGGCGCCATGGCACCTGCAGGCACCAGGTTGGGGACCCCTGGGCTAGTGCACTCCCACTCCTTGCAGAAGTATAGCTGATGAATCTTCATAGTTATGAATCTGCCAGTTCCACCCCTTACATAGGACACCTCTAAATCCCCCCTTAATGTTGAAGTGCAGGAAGCCTCAGATAAAGCAGAGCTCTATGTGTGAAGGCAGTTTGGATCTCCTGCACAGTTCTTAAATTCTGCCACCTGTTTTCCACTTGTCTGACTGAATCAGGGACCTCTGTGTCCCCAGAAAATCGGGCAAAATTTGGCCCTTCAGCATCCTTTTCAATCAAATCTCAAAGTGTTGCTTTTATATTGAATAAAGCTCTGTATAATTTAAAACTCTGTATGATTAAGTCACTAAAGTGTTTTACAAGGCATATGTAAATGATGCTATACAAAATAAAAATTATTCTGATAAGGAGTTTTTAAAAGACTAACTTCTTGTAATCCCTTAAAGAGTGGAAATAAAGATGATAGTGAAACATTTATTGCAAAACACAACCAAGAATCTTCCTAAATATTTCAGCTACATTCTTTATTTTACAGGCCCAGAAGGAGACCTGGATGGAATGAAAGGGGATTAGATCTATTAAGTCTTTAAGGTTAAAAAAGAAGGCTCCTTTAAAAACCAAAAGAGAATATAAGAAAGAAAAAAAGAATTCTTCATTTGTACCCGATGGTTTTGGTTTTATTTTTTTTTATCTGTTTGCAAATGTTCACTGTAATGGTTTGAAACCCAGTCGTGTCATTTCTTTACGCCCACACAGAGCTGCAGTAGTGCAGACATTGTAACAGGCAAACCATATTACCAGCAACAGCCATTAAAACTCTTCCCACGCCAAGCATGGGCTGAAATCACCCCCACTCCCACACACCCCACCGTAAAACCTTCAATGATCAGTTTAAAAAGAAAATTGAAAAAGGAAACAGGATGCTTCTTTTGTTTCAACGCTATTCCAGAGAGACCTGTACCACTCCACCTGCCTATGGACTGACCGCCTAAAGGTTAGCAAGTGCTTTGTTGTTACTTTATGTGGCTAGAAATTCTATACAGAATGAGATAGATCATGAAGTTGTGCTTGTTTTAATGCAGTAATTATTTCAATTCGAGATGAGGGAAGCTTTTCTCCAAGACATAGAGCATTTTAGTACCAGTCCCCCGTCTGTCTGAGACAGTTTTATAATCAGTGTTTTTTACATCTGTTAGTCCAGCCTCCAAAACTTTAAAAGCTGGATTAAGGTTATTTTTTTGCTGTTAGTGCAACCTGTTGATTGCAGACTGTTGGCTGAAGGTTAACACTTTCCTAGCATAGAAAATGCACAGTGAATTTGATGATGCGACAAAATAAAAAAACGAACTCCCTTAATTTTTTCTGTTGTGCAACTAGAAACGTCCTATTTGTCTGGTCACTATAGAGCTGCCAACAGTGTGCAGGAATAACAGATGTATTAAATATGTTTCCCTTTTGAGAGAAATAAGCTAAGTTTAAAATAGAAGTACAGACATAGAATAATCTAGAGAGTACTGTGTGATTCAGCTGAGATGAGAAGTGGTATAGGAATTAGAATGGAAAATATTTTGATGTACAAATGATACTGATTGAGACAACTATAAGTCAAAAATAATGTTTTATTTACATATTAAAATCTATTTGTAGCTTATAGAGTGTTTATACTGAGGTCAAACCTTTTGGAGATTTCAAACTTAAAAATATCCAAGAGGAAAAGAAACAAAGAGCACAAATTGATGTACTTTTATTAACCATCAAGCTAAATCCTAAATTCTTTGCTGTCATAGGTGTTGTATATTTCAGTTGTTATAGAAAGTTAAGTTAGCTGCTACATTTTATCTGAAGTATTCTGATCTTACAGGTTTAATTTTCTCTTTCGTATACTCTGAAAGGATTATAATATTTTGGTGCAATATCCACAAAAAGAACCACTTATGTAAAACTAAGAAATGGTAGGAGCATACTGTGGAATTAGTAAGGGTAAATTTCCCCCAAATATTCATACACAGTACCTGAAGAGAGACTCTTGTGGTCCCATGACTTCAAAATTAGATAAAGCATGTTTTGTAGCTGCTTTGTATATACCATAACAGATGACGTAAGGTGTGTGTGATTTTTCAGGGACTACTGATATCACAATGAGCAGGCAGATGTCTCAGGATCAGACTATGGTTAAGACTAATTGTCCTGGGAAAGATTATAAATATTCCCAAAGATGAGGCTCTAAATCTGGGTCCTGATCCTGCAACGGGCTGAGCACCCTCAACTCTATTAACTTTAGCAGATGTTGTGAGCAGTCAGCACCCTAGTGCAGGTACTCAGAATTTCACAGGATCAGATCTTTTGAAGAACAACTGAAGAGCTGAAGTCAAATACGCACTTTTGTTATGAGACATTGGGGTATGATTTCAGCTTCAGGGAATGAGGTAAGAATGAGAATAAATGCCAGAGACAGAAATTGTTTACAGTGAAAAAAGGTATCTTGGGGGAGACTAGCAGTCACTTCTGGGCCAGTAAGAAAGTCCATCAACACCACTGTTACTAATTAGAATTGAAGTGTAGAAGTATATGGAACTTGTGCACTCTAAAAACAATACAGAACCCCCTCCCCAAAACACCCTTCTATTCTACCAAACAAAATGGTATTTGTTGCACCATTAGTAATTAATTTATTACTAACGGTACAATTACTTTTTCATACTGTGTATGAAAATGTAATTGAATACAAGTGTGATCTATTCTCCAGGAAGTGCCTCCAATAAACATTGTCCGGCTATACCAAAAGAAGGATAGGAGATGCTTGATATGGATTTAATCAGGCCGCAACTTTATTATATAGATGTCTGGGACTATCCGGCAGATAAAGTGAACAGTGTAAGCAAATCCATGTTTAGTCAGGTAACTACCCAGGGCTTTCTCCAGCTACCCTTCATTTTCCACCCAGGTCCCCCAGCCAGCCTGCCCCAAGAACTTACTATGTGTTGTTACGGCACCTAGTCCAATAGGGCCCAGTTTCTGCCTGGGGCCTTTCAGTACTACCATGACACTGCTACTACTAAATGGATCACAAACCACTGTTTGGGAACCACTGGATTAAAACATTGACATTGGTAAAAAATAATGAAAAACAGTTATAAAGTATCTGCTCTGCCCCCAATGTACATGTAACAAATAAAAATATCAACTGAAGAAACAAATCAGTATTTTCGTCTGTTTCACATAGTCACTTAAAAGCTTTTTACATTAGTTATAAAATATTCATTGTATTTGACATGACTGTATTAGTACAGCAAGCAGTTTTGTCTGAAATCAGCATCCAGATAGTCACCAATTTTAGAGTTAACAGTAGCAACTGTCTTTTTGTGCTTATTTAATATTTAACTTGGACATATAGGAAGCCCTGAAAAATCCAATATTATTACTAATATTTCAGAGATGTCTTCGGTCTGGTATCTGGGTGTTATTTGAAGTACTTCAGTTTCCTAAAGGAAGAGGATCAAAGATCCCGTTCCTCCAGATTACAGCTACTTAAGAGGAATTCATGTGTGTGTGCATTTTAAGGTGCTGGTTGTTGTAAATATAGGTATCGTTTCACATATGGATGACTGACTATTCTAAATACCTGTCTGAAGTATCTGAACATGGCTAGTGGGAACTAGATGATGCTGCCAGAGGTTGAAACATTTCAGACTGAGCTGGTTAAATGTGCAGTTAATAAAACCTACCTTCCTCATAGGTGCTTACTAAATAGGATCGTGCCAACTTACAACTTACAAATCTATTGATGGTTCAGTTTTATGTTTGTACAGTCTCTAGCACAATGAAGTGCCACTCCTGATCGAGACCTCTGGATGCTACTGGAAGGTGAACAATACATGAAAATAGAAGGACCTTGCAGTCCAAGAGACTTTCTCTTCATATGATATTCTGACAGTTCCGATCAGTTGAGATTCTTTAGCTGGCAGTCCCCTGATTTAGACATGGCGAGGCTAGGGATAGGGCAATCTGAATGAGGATCCTCAACTCTGCAACTTGCTTTTCCCTTGGTCTGACGCAACCAGAGTCTATTAATCTCAGGATAAACTGCAAGGCATATCATTTATCACAAGCATCGGAGAAGGTGGTAAATTTAGAGGTGTTTTTGTTCAATTTTGAATGACTCAAGAAAAATTCATCATTCATTTGCTTCATAAGATTTGTCATAGTTTTTATTATGCAAATGTGTGGGGTGATGGATAGATGCATTTTCTTTTTAAATTAGTTTAATTAACTAAATTAGTGGTAATACTCAGGAAGCGGAGGCCAGACTTGCTTTGTAAGGATGTGGAAGTTCTTGTCTATGGTAGGTGGCTGTGGAGAGAAAGTGTGATCTTACTTTCTGAATGGTTTCCTGCAGAAATGGGTTGGCCCTAACATTTCATGAGTACAGTGTCAGTGCCACTCAAGCAGTTGACATGGCATTTCCTTGTGGGAGATGCTGTCATTTATCTCTTATGTGGCCAGAAGTATCTGTGCTGGCAAGGATGAAAGTATAAATGTGCTTGTTGAACTGTGTCAGCATTTTGTTTTGTAAATAAATGTGCATTCTTTTAAAACTCAGAAGAGGAAATGTATGAGTTCTCAGAAGACAGATGTACTCTGTCAGTACTAATGTAGAATTTAGCTTTTAAATCAACTCCTTTAGTTCCAAAGACCAGCGTATTGTTTTTCCATTTGAAACATCTTGCAACCAGTTTAACTTTTCAAGAGGATTATATAAGGAGTAAAAGCCAAAAACAAATAATCCCTCCCTGCCACTAAATATAGCTGGCCTGCAGTTATATTTTAGCCCTGGTAAAAGGGTCTTTCATTCAGAACACAGAGGGATGGATTCTCTGGTCCATTAAGGCCATAAGCAGCATAAAATGGCCTTTAAACAGCCAGAGATTGCAACAGTCAGAAAGCCAGATCTTCAGCTGGTGTAAAATTGGTGTAGTTCTACTGAAGACAGCATGAGAATCCTTGGCCAAGAGCATCCCAAATGACTTGTGTTCTGATTTTAGATTAAGGTACATCTTGGGGATGAGCTTTTACATGTTCTCATTGCTCTGGAAGAAGCCAAGAGAGTTGGGCGCTGTACTTTCAAAATACTATAAATACAAGGTTTTTTCTGATGTCTTCCCAGAAACCAGGTAAATTAATCTACAGTCTCAACAAACTGTAGATTTCACTAATTAAATTTGAGGTAGCAGAACAAGCCACACTGGCTAAGAGATTAGATGAACTTTGTGTTTCAGTTGGTATTTAGGTGGTGCCATTCAGTTTAAAAAAATAAATATGAAAAAAGTAAATCACGGAGAATAATGGACTGAAGCATGATATGTAAACCCTCAGTCCAAGATTTTTCTTCTGTCTGATGTATAGTTTTTCAAGTTTGAAATGTGTACAGACCACTGGTTTATATTTACAAATGCTAAGATATGGGCCACAGTGAAATACCAGGAATTGCCCTGGTGTATTAGAGAACAGAATTTGGCCAAATGACTTCTAGAGTACATGTAAAAATGTCCATGGATAATAAATGATGAACAAAAAATCATAGAAAGCTAATTATGGATCTGAAAATAACTAAAAGTACAGTTTATCCTATTCAACTCATTTTCTCTAAACAATTATATGAAGCATTTAAAAAACCTTCTTTCTTACTTATTTTTGTATTAAGAAGATCTAATGCTTTGTTATGTGCAGGCTTCTTGTATTTGAGACCAGTGACTCAGTGGAATAATTTGGATAGGCATATTGAAAATGACAAATATGAAGTCTGGGTAGTCAGCGGCATTTTCAGGATGGATTTTCTGCTTCTGCAGGTTAGAATGAATATTCAGAATTCCATAGTCTTACTCATTTGAAGTGAGTTTGGTAGCACCAGACATTCCCTGGTGGATAACACATTATTTATTTTTATTATTATTTCTATTATGCTATGATCATTATGAATTATTATAAAAATCATGC